TAGTACATGAAACAAGATTAAATTTCCATTCAATTATTTAACTGACATTGTCTTAATAAAAAGATATCTTCGCATTTTGATGTATCATACTAGTTACCTTGGCTCCAAGATCTGAAAACACAAGACCATCGATATTTAAAATAATGAAGTAATAATAATGAGATGTTATTGCTAAATGTGACACTGTTATTTGTCTACTCAATAAAAGGATCAGATTTAAGCAACTATTTACTGTGTTATCTGAAATGTGTTGTCTCGTTGAATTAGTAATTAAGTTTATCAAGTGAACGTCGTTTAAATGAAAATATATACTTTGACCGCTCCAAAAACTTAATCGACTCTAAGAATACATAACAAGTGTAATGAATTATTCGTTTACAAATGAAACTTGAGAATTTAATTGCTCATTGAACAAAGCGGTAAATCAAACCTAGTCCCATTCAAAGACAAGATGATCTCACTGTATCTCACTACTGTGATATGTGGTGATGAGTGGTTAAGCGAGACAGTGAGTGAGTGAGCGAGTGAGTAAGTGAATGAGAACGAGATGTTTTCAATCAGGTGTTAAGACTGTGTGAACTAATTCCATGTTGATAGTGCATATGGATGTGTGTATTGTGCGCATTGCATTGTCCGTAGAGAGTAGTGTTGTCCGGAATGGTGTAGTTTATTTGTGTGAGGGTGAAGCGAAATGTTGATAGTGGTGAATTAGTTTTGTGCATTTGCTATCACTGAACATTTTATGTAAGTGTATTGGATGGCTGCCATCTGTGTAGCTTTGCCTGTATTTAATGCTGTAAAGTGTGAACTGTGGTTCGCACGCTCAGAAAGTTGTTTTGCTTTTTGTTGTTGAAAAGAGAATTACAAGTGAGAGCACTAAACTTAGTTAGACAAAGTAGTTGCTGCCGGACGACGTTATTGAATAAGTGCCTGAGGTTACTTTTAAGTGGATGTTGACTCACCATACGAGTCGCACCCACATCATAGCTGTTGACAGTGACTCGAGTCACACCATAACCACCAGCATGAGTAGGGTCAGTCGAAAAAATAAGAGTGTAAATAGATGTAGGACAAGGATGGATATGAGGGAGATAAAGGGAGGTTAAAGTGAACAAAACCTTTGATACTCATAAATAAGTTTTGTGCATATCCTATCATTTTTGTTGTGGTTGACTTGTGTACGGCTTTGGATCTGTGCTGCGATGTTAATGTGTGGCTTCGAGCGAATTCGGTTACGTTCTGTAACCAAGCTTGTATCCTGACACGATCTCGATATCCTTTCGATACCACGAGATCGCCAGCAAATATATCTCGACTTGGTCCATTAACTGCCTTCTGATATTTGGCTTCTCGGGGATTTTATGGATTTATTTGGTTACGTTCAACCTTCGCCTTCTGATTTATTTGGCACGCGATCCTTTGTTCATAGTCAATCCCAACTCGACACCACGCTACAAATGGTGAGCCGTATTTTGGAACACGCCCCAGCCTCTGGTCAAATCTTCCAAAGAAGCCAATTCGGTGAGTCTATCGTTTATCTATCCACGTCCGTCGTATATTTTCATATTATCTTTTAATATATAATATACTCGACCTGACGGATAACGATAAGAATAGTATTAGTATAATAGACTCACATGTATGTGTACCGAATCCTTGTCACTTTTTAATAATAATAATAAAATAATAATAATAATTTATTCTCAAATAACAGTTTGTTACATGAGGCATGCCAGTTTACAGGCAAGATCAAATTGATACAAATGATACAATATCCACTGTAGGAAATTACACAGCTAGGTTGATAATTTATAAGATATAAATGTAGATGGTTTAAATCAGTATCACAGTCGGCGCGCTTCACGAAAGTTGCGTTGCGAATGTGCAACTGATGGTCAAGGGTAGGTCCATTGAAGGTAGGAGCTTCTAAATGTCTCAACCTTATGTCCCTGTGGAATGTCTAAGGCTTTGAGAATGGTGCAGGATAAAATCTTTCGTTCCATATCACAAGGGGGCTGAAAGAGGGAGCAAGTAAAAGAAAACACGAGGGGCAGAGTAGCCAATATTCATGAACGAATGTTTAAGGTATGATTACTCATTCTAATTTTCTTTCATTAAGGTATTTGTTAAGAAAGAGCATTTAATAGGTTAAAGAAAATGAGTGTTAACAAGGTGTGAGTGGACATACAACTGACAAATGGAGGCCATTCGGAAAGCAGCTGTGAGTATGGGATTATGTGTGGTTATAAAATAAAATATGGTGCTAGAAACACTATTGTGATATACAATTGGCTATCCTTTTTATCGAAGCTATTGGAGCCCTTTTCATTTTTTTTGTATTATTACTTTTTTTCAGGTATCATAGGGTCTTGAGTAGGCTTCTTATAATAGCGAATTGTCTAGTTTGCTTGTAATAGGATTTCTGAGTAGGAAGTGAAACCAATTCAACGTTCGTAACACGATTTAAAGAGGTATTTTGCGTGATAAATCAGCTTCAATACCATAAGTTCGTGACATCCCACTAAACCATAAGTAGGTTATGATTAATAAACGATGAATAATAGGAAAGGATAAGCCATGTATTCTGTGGTTTGGTTATATTCGTATTAGTAACAGTTGAACTTGTTATAATCTTGTTCTTTGTAGATACTGGCGGTCCGTAATAAAGTGCCTCATTGGTGGGCGGGAGTTCAAGGAAATGTTGAAGCTCTTTGGAGTCTAGAAATAGGGTTATTAGCTTTTTGAATCTGGTAAACGTATCACAGTTGCGGATAGGCATGACGGTAAATTCCACGCTTTATTCGAGAAATGTTACCCTATTAACGATTCTCCTCGCTGACCCGTCTGCTTGGTACGGAATGCATACGCATACGCATTACCGTCTACCACCCAGCACCAAATGGTTAAGTTGAACGGTTTCACTGCCAACTTAAAGGTTGTCTACAAGCACACGAAAACGAAAACTGGTACGAAACCTTACCGCTCGTTCTCTTAGGCATCAGAACGAGCTTGAACGCAGATATCCAATGTTCGGCCGCTGAACTTGTATACGGCACGACATTGCGTCTGCCCGGAGAATTCTTCACACCACAGAGCAGACCTAATTTCGGTAAATCAGACTACGTCCGACGACTGACTGTATTTATGCGAACGCTGTCTCCGGTGTCAACTCGAATACAACATCGACGGGTCGCTCTCCCTCGAGAGTTATCCACCTGTTCACATGTTTTCATACGAGTAGATTCGGTACGCAAACCTTTGCAACAACCTTACGAAGGCCCTTTTCGCGTGATCGCTCGTCACGAAAAGACCTTCAAGGCTGATCGACACGGCCACGTCGAAGCCGTCAGCATTGATCGTCTCAAACCAGCACACGTCGATGACAGTGCCCTATCTGATAACCTGAGATTCAAAGCTAGACCTATCAAACCAACTAGCGAGACCCTCAAACCATCTTCAGATCCTACGCTAGATATACCTGAGACCTCATTCTCACGTCCCAGTCAACAGCACGCGTCATCTGCACCGTCTATGGACGAGACGACAGTCTCACGTCCAGATCAGCAGACCACGCCGCCCTTGACTTCGGATGAGATTGCAGGCTCGCGCGACGCGAACGAGACTGCCGTCTTACGTTCTGGTCGCCGAGTACGGTTACCCGTACGCTTCCGCGAATAGTCGCACAGTCAACAACCAATACGGCGTAGGACTATTCCTATACTACACGCATGCTATACCCTTCTCTTTTTTGATTTTCTTTTTGTTTCCTGAGCCCACGCCTTCGACCATCCCCGTTTGGTTCTGTCGACTTCGGCGAAAGCTGGCCTGATCACCCACGCTCTTGTCAACGCACTCAGTCGATATTTTGGTTTCGAATGTTTGGCATTCGTTCGGTCTCAAACTTGGTCGTTATGGTCGCTTCTGGTTCTCGGCTCAACGTGGTTTCGTCCTACGTCTGCAGCGTTTTCTGGTCCGGATCCCTACGAATGCAATCTTCAGATCCTGGATACAAACCACTCTGGTGTAGTATGCCAACTCAAGCAACAAATACAGCACATCGCTCCTAGTACCGTTCTCCGAAAAAAAACATTCGTTGGCAACTCGACGATCAACGGTCGCTTTCCTGTTTCGCCAATCCTTCCATCCTACGATCGCTCGCCAGCCGATCGGTCCCACGATTTAAACCGCTACTTATCGAAAGTGTAAACCCTTTCTAGCGGGGGGCTCTTGTAGTGACCCAAATTTATCACGAGAACACGACTGGTTTAATGAAAACAACTATTATTATAACCAACTGTACCAGTGTTGATTTTAATGTGCTTTTGTTTGACTGCGCTAATGACAGCTATTTTGTGGTTTCATTCTTATTCTTACACTTTGATTGTGACTTCGCGCGAATTCGGTTACGTTCTGTAACCAAGCTTGTATCCTGGCACGATCTCGATATCCTTTCGATACCACGAGATCGCCGGCAAATATATCTCGACTTGGTCCATTAACTGCCTTCTGATATTTGGCTTCTCGGGGATTTTATGGATTTATTTGGTTACGTTCAACCTTCGCCTTCTGATTTATTTGGCACGCGATCCTTTGTTCATAGTCAATCCCAACTCGACAACACGCTACAAATGGTCGTCAGATCGAGTCGCATCCACATCATAGCTTTTGACAATGGCTGAAGTCACACCATAACCACCAGCGTGAGCAGGGTCATTGGAAAAAATAAGAGTGTAAATAGATGTAGGACAAAGATGGATACGAGTGGGATAAAGGGAGAGTAAAGTGAAAAAGAATGTTGATAGTTATGAGTTAGTTTTGTGCATTTGCTATCACATGTTGGCAGTCGCCTCTATGTTAATTTCTGAACAATTAGATGAGATCATTATCATTAAATTCTCTAACATACTATTATTGTATATTCATCTCAAAAGATGCTAACGGTTGACAAAATGAAATTTCATCTGTAGCTAATGAATACAATGTAATATGAAACAACTAACCGGGCAATGTTTATGTGAATTCAGTGATGTATTCCCTTTCGTAACGATACTCCAATTTACCATTTAATTTGCGAGCGATTAAGACGGTAAGAAAAATACCTGCTTGAAAACGCATTTCTGGTTTAAATTGACGAGCAATAACAACTAGTAGGCGCAGAATAGCAACCAAGTCTTTCTGATGAATACGTCCGGCAGTCCATCGTTGACTGGCCCAACTTTCTGATACATGAAGTATTTCGTTGACAGTTTGTAGTACACCCTAAACCTCAGTTAGTTAGTATTGTTAAAGTTACACGCAAGCGTTGAAGCTGTCCATTTTCAGATAGCGTTAACTCAGGATGATCGAGCTTTATCTTCGTTAGTTTTTCAACTAACGTTTGCAGAAGTTGACCGTCATATATGTCTTCTTGAATATCTCTCACGATAATTCGATGTTCTGATAGTTCGTTGTTAATCCATGTCAATAATTTGTCCACTAAATTCTTAGCACTTTCAGAATTCTATGAAAGTTTTAGAATCATTTAAGTAAGACCATAAGCATACTTGCGACGACTTCTCAATAAAAGAACGCTCTTGTCCTTCTTCCAATTGATATTGTTTGGGGTCGTCAGTTGTTAAATCACTAACTGCCATTTCGATGGCTTGATGACTTTCTTTATTGAGTTCTTCAACTTCCAGGCGAGCTTTTCTCTTACGCTTGAAAGTGTCCAACTTTGAAAGAATAGAATCGTGACTTTTTAATCCTGCTATAGTAGTCATTATAATTTAAGCTGAATTCACCAAAGCATAAAGCAAAATGATGAATAATTTTGATGAGCAACAGATTGACTGAAAATATTACTCCATTGCAAAACGCAACAATTGTATGACCTAGGTAAAAAAAATCTCTAGCACATCCTTTTTGCAGTGATTCTTAAAAATTTAATATGTTAACAACACATCTCATAACACCTAACAGAGATAGAATAAAGGCTTTTACAATAGGCGTACTGAGAAGTAGTTGGTCATGCACGACATGGAACCTGCCACACTCCATTAGGCCTCTAAGGTAGCTACAGTATCAGAAGCAGAAAAACTGCGTATGTGTAAATTAGAGATTTTGGGACTTAGGTTCCAAATTACATGAAGAGTACACGCGCCCATGCCACTACAAACGAGCCTGATTAGCGTCACTCTGCGCCTTTAATCACTGGTTACGATAGTCGCGCAGACCATAGCCAGGTAGCCCACACCTATTTACATGGCTTTGTCTGTGTTCTCAAGCAGTTATTCCTCGGGCTCTGCGGCTACGCCAACAGGTTCCGAAGTCCACTACTAATCCAGTCCCAATCTCCCTATTTTGGGAAAATATGACCCATTCTGGAAAAGCCACCATAGTAAGCTTTGAGGAAATGGCACGAAAACTCCAATATTTCGCCAGAATCTTATTACACTTTGGGAAGTCGGCTTATATTTATCAATAAAACCCCAACATTTTTCACAATTGCGTGGAAATTTTGCGTCTTTCCCCAAATTTCCCCTGACTTTAGGGATGCATTATTACAAGTTCCCCAAAGTTGGGAGCTTGGGATGTATTATATCAGGATGTACGTTAACGTGCACTCTGATATATTAATTAACAAGCGCTGTTGTATCGCTGATAAAAATACTACCGGTTTATTCACGAAGCAGTAAGGCTTGAAACAAAAATGTAAAAACAGGGTTGAAGCAGCAGACTGACAATAAAAACATGATATATGTAACCCATTAAGTTCAGCTTTTCGTAAATTCGGATCTACTCTGAAAGCACTTTGTGAGTGGTAATGTGAAAATCTGGAACAGAAAAAAACTACAAATAAGCTGCAAACTTGGCAATCACAACCAATCTAGTAACCAGGATTAGGTGCCGTTAATATTTGAAATGGTCCAAACGGTTCAAATGGTTGTGGACGGAATAGAAGAGGCTTTCGCTTAATAGGCTTTCGTGTCTAGTAGCAGGGATCACCAAATCCTCCAGGCAGGAATCTAGGTATGGTAACAATAAAACAGGAAAAGATATTAGTATATCATAGTGCAATACTATCTTTAGTCCTCAAGAATAGATCAAGTTGCCTCTTAAAAGACTCCTGGGAAGTCGCTTGAACTAGTTCAGCCGGCAGCGAATTCCAGTATTTACAACTCATAAGGAGTACAAATTGTGTCTACAACCTCTTCTACAATGTCGTGTCTCCAATTTCTGGGTGTTAACCCTCAGGTTTGTGTTGGAGCTAAGCTTAATTAGGTGTTTAAGGGGATGTCCAGAAGCGTTAAGGATACTGTAAGCCATCAGAAAGTCACCTCTAAGACCCCTATACTCTAATGGGTAAAGTTTGTAGCGGTTAATATTTCCCCAAAATAAATAGCTCTGTAAGTTTTCGACATTGGATGCTGACCACTTTAGTCTTAATGGATTCACCTAGCTTAAGGCGCCCGGTCATGCATCCGCACCAGATCACGAGCTGGAACGTCGTGCTCAACATGCCCTGCAATCGCTAGCCAGATTAGATCAGTCGATCCTCGATATATTGATAGGTCGTCAAATATATCTTCAACCTCTTCGCTTCTGTCTTTTGATTTCACTTGATGGGTACGCTTCATATAAAAGGTGTTACTGGTTAAAGTGTTGTCAAACTCTGAATACCTGTGGCATCTTCAAGGTCAAGCGATTGGAGGCGCTCTTTATAAGGTTCAAATTAGAGTCCCCGGACACATTTCGTGGCTCGCCTTTGGATACGCTGTAGGGTGTCCTTATCCCTAATGACGATTTGTATCTCATTTCCGTAGTTATTTGACTGTGCATTCCGGTATTCCACATTATCCGGATATTCCACGCACCTATATTATTTAAGGCTCTGGTTGTTGGAAGGGGCATCAGCCTCGAGATTTTTGAAGAATCTTGGCTTTCACCATGAGGCGTAATAATTCTCCTAAATACAGATCCTTCAACTCCCAAGGCAGAGTATAAATGGTTTGAATTTTCTAATGACAAGTGTATACTTAGCAAAGTTGTTTTCAGCGGGATGTGGTTGCTGATTCCATGTTAAACCCTCTTCACTTATCCCGTCTTGGGATTGGCAGTACCTCATTGATTACGTATCCCATGAGTGGGGCGTGTGAATTAGTTAGTTGTTGCTTGAAATGCTAAGAGCAAGAGCTGGTGATTGTTCTGGTCCTCCTCAGTTCAAGCTGTGAGGTGAATGAAGTCTTGCTAGATAGCCACAACACTTGGTCATAAAGTGATCGATTTTTAATCTTAGGAGGCTTTAACGCCCCAACGATAGGCTGGAAAAATCTGAGGAGTGAATCATCAAAAAAGTCTTTGGACAGAAACTAGTTGACGTGATTATCACATGTGCTCTAGTGCAACATGGGAAAGAAGCAACTAGATACGAACCAGACTCCGAATCATCCTTAATATATCTCATTTTGATCCATTACGAGGATGACGTCACAAACCTTGATTATATGCCATACTCAGGTAAAAGTGATCATGCAGTTCTAATCTTTGATTTCCATATAGTTGTCAATAACGAGGATGTGTCAGCCCAACGTAGGCCTAACGTCTGGAAAGCAAATATAGGTATTAAACACTCAGCATCCGCAATAGATTGGATAATAGAGCCAGAGTCCCCGATTGAAACTTTTTTTGATGTACATGAGAATTTGTACTGCATCACACATTCCTTTTACTACGTCAAGGGTTCCGAGAAAATTCTTATCGTCGTTCAATAATGAGATTTGAAGTTCATTACTTTAAAGAGGAAGAATATGGGCTAGATTGAAGTTGATGATACTGACGGGATAACGTACAGTATCGCGAAATCGAAATATTTATGTCTTGACCCTTAGCAAGTTCAGAAGTTTGTACGAATGAAAACTTGTTAAAGAATCTATGGCATACCGTAAACGTCTAAACTCGCGCGTAACCAAAGGGTTATGAGAAGAGGAATTATTCCAGCATTATGCGTAGACAGTAGCACTTCATAATAAGTGAAGAACGGCTGTGGTAAGGCCAGGTATCTTCAATCTAATTTAGCAGTTTATAAGCCGTAGAGACGCCCTTTCCTTCAGTTCAAACGAGCTCCTCATACACACACTGGAAACTGTGATCATCAAAGAACTCAATGTCTTTGATCTGTTAAACAAGCTTGACATAGACAAGTCCACGGGACCCGATGGGATGCATATAGACAACTAAAAGAACTAGATAATTTCGTCTCAAATCCCTTAAGCATATGTATCAATCTATCCGTAACCCGGGGTCGATTACTAAAAAAACCCTAGAAGAACAATGTACCAGGTCCTGTTCCGCTTCTCGGCACTCTGAGCTAAGCTCATGTGTTAAAACAGGTACGAAACATAAATATGAGACCTGATAGTCTAAACAGCGTGGTGTTAAATTTCGGAAAAGACTATTCGGAAGGAGCTGTTTAAGTATCTTGATGAAAACCGAATTTTCAGAAAAGCAGAATGGTTATAGAACAAATTATTCCTGCCTCACTAACTTATTAGAGGCTCATGAAAGTTGGTGCAGTCTTAAAGACCAAAAGTTACCTATAGACATAGCCTACATTAACTTCAGCAAAGCTTTTGACAAAGTTCCTCACAACCTGCTGTTATATAAGTTAAGAAATGTGGGGGTTGGAGGCAACCTATTAATGCGGATAAAATACTTCCTAGTTAGCCATCAAAAAAGAGTACGGCTGAAATTGGAGTTGTCTTGCTGAGAAATGTGCTTAACGGAGTGCCTCAGGGTACAGTTTTGGGACGAATATTATTCCTCTCGTATCCTCCTCCAGTATCCTACCATCACCGGTTTTGCTATATGCTGACGATGTCAAGATATGGAGAGCGATAAAAAGTAAAGGTGAAACCTTAAAGCTTCAGAATGACCTGAAGAAATTATCCGTACGGTCTCAAATTTGGCAGTTGCCGACAAATACTTCTAAGTGTATCGTGACGCATATTGGTCATTAAGGTACAGATACATGCATGATGAATAACATTGAGCTACCTGTTATCCAGACACAAAATAACTTACGAGTCATCGTCAGCCAAGACTTAAAAACTACTGCACACTGCCGTGCAATAGCCGCCGAAGGTTCTACAACCTTATGGGATCAGTACGTAGGGCCTTTAACCATATCGACAATGAAACTTTCCTGACTTTGTACACAGTATTCGTGTGGCTAGCCCCTGTTTAAAAAAAGACATTGAGCTTTTGGAAAAGGTTCAGAGAACAGTAACTAAGCTGATTCCCGGAATAGCGAAGCTTCCGTATCATTTTCGACTGGCTAAACTAGACCTATTCCCATCGTCATATCGAAGGACCAGAGGTGACTTGATTACAATCTTCAAATTACTTAAAGAGAAATTCGGATCTGATATAGCCCTAATTTTTCTTGACTTCCAAAATACAGAGTTTACGAGGACACTCCAAAAAAGTTCACAAGCCCAGAATAAATTACTTGACCATCGACTTTCCCATTGAATTATCAACGAGTGGAATTCATTACCTCAACACGTGGTTGAAGCTTCATCTGTCGACGCTTTCGGAGGAAAGTTGAACCATTTGAGACCACTATTAGGTCTAACGCTGGCCATCTAGCCCACTGCCTTTAACAGACTGAAACTGAGGCCGAAAGGTGCGGCAAGTCATACTAATATAATTCTCAAACAGTACTTAACAGTTTACGACGGAACAGCTAAAAGTGTGATGAATTAAGAAACTAAACTCACACTAGCCATCGTCGCTGAAGTAAAATTCGGTCAAAGCCTTCACATTAGAGAACACAGTATTAAAGAACAATGAGTTGTAATGGTTAACAAGGTGAAGTGGGTTTAAATTATGCAAAGCAAGTCGAAGCTAAAATAAAGAAGTAGCAGGTGTAAGCAGGTAAGCACAGCTGCCTAAAAAATGTCTTATGACAGCGGACCCAACGGGATTCTTCCATCATTTGTGAAATTTGGTTGCAGAGAATTCCCACTATTTTGTTTGAAGCTTCTCAACCTATCTATGTAATATAGGACGTACCCATCTGTATGGAAAACATCTCTTACCACCCCTAGATTTAAAACGGGATCGCGTAGTGATATTGTTAACTATGGACTCATTAATTTGACACCCGTGCCATCAAGAACCATGGAAAAAATCATTCGCGAACAACTATTATCATTTTTCTTTCGGCTGGTCTGATTAGCCCATCTCAACAGAGGTTTATGTCTAAACGCTTATGCTTCACGTTGCAACCGGAATTTTTCGATCAAATTACCCAGAGACGAGATGTTGGTCGGTCATTGATAACTCTGTACATCCATTTTAGTAGGGCTTTCGATAGTGTCTCATACAAGCGTCCTCTCCTAAACTGTCTTCATTTGGAATATAGAATCCCTTTTTATCTTGACCGAAATGTTTTTTGGAAGAACGTAGCCAAATCGTCCGCTTGTGAATGTAACCAGTGGGGTTATTCAAGGAAGTGTGGTTGGTCCATTAGTCTTTCTACGTTTTATCAGTGAGGTGTGTTTCCTCTTTCAACTTGGCAAACCCTTCCATTCTACCGATGACCTAAAGGTGGTTTGTTCATTTTCTTTTCCTATCGAAAAAGCTATATTTCAGCGGTAATCCAAGAAGAAATAAACAAGTTGCACGAATGGAACGTTTCGTGGAATTCGCCACTTAATGTTGATAAAAGTGGATTTATTCGCATTAGCCGATGCACCAACCTAAATCCAGCTATACACACACATACACTGAAACCTCTCAACACTGTTTGTGACTTGGGTTTAAGATAGAGCAACATTCTGAACTTTTCTGAGCATCTCAAGTATCCAAAGATAGAAAGCTCATCGGATTCATAATGATAAACTTCAATAATATCGAACCAAGATTATTATTATGCAGAAAATTTATCTTACCCATTCTTCAATATTGTATTTTAGTTTACAGTAATTGCGGACATAATGACCTGACTAAAATTGAAGGTATTCAAAGAAGGTTCACCAATGCTGTTACGGGTTATTCGGACAACAAAAACCATCACCAAAGGTGTCAACAACTCAAATTAGAACCTCTCTAGACCAGATGTATCAAATTAAACCTTGTCTTTATCTACTAGCTTATTAACTGTTTTTCCTACTCTTCGGTATCCACCCTTCCATACTCTGCGATATCATCCCATAATCCACACAATAAGAAAAATATTCTAGCGATTTCAAGAGCCTACACAAACGTACGCCAGAATTTTTTCGTTATTCGCTACTCAACCATGTGGAACGGACTGCCAGTGAACCTCCGTTGTAGTGAAACTACAACCCGGGTTCAGAAGTCCCCTTGATGATTTTCTTTCTGGAAGTGGATTGTGTCACCTATTGAATATCAGTGTGTTTAATAATGATTTACACAAAAGCGTCATACATATTGACATTTGGTTATCCCTTTCACACAGTTGAAACTTTCATGGCATCACTCCAAACTATGGCTGCACAAACACTTATTCTAACGTCATATCTTACTGCAATAACAAGTTATTTTTCTTAATTATTTTTTGTTTTATTTTTGTTACTAATTCGGCGATACATACATAGTCGTTAGTTCTAGTTCTGTGATCATAAACACGCATATTAAACAATCTACGGATTTCATGTCTCCTTTATTTCTTCTCCTTTTTATTCTCCCTGTCCTTCTTTAAAGTCAATTCAAAATTCTCCTCAATTACACAGAACCTGATTTATTATTACTATTCTATTGTCATTATTTTCTTTTTTTCATTTTTTCATATATGTCAAACGAATGCTAATATTACTGAAACTGGTGTATTATCTCAGTTTTGAAGAAACTCGAAGTGGTTTCTTCATAACATTTATGTACCTATAAGATGTTTGTGAATAATAACAATAACTTCAATACAAAAGAAGTAAGTGAATGAACACTTGAGCTCTATTGTTCTGACATATACTTAGTTCTTTGAGGTCAACCATTAACTAATCAACCCAAGTTTTTACACGTTTTGCAGTTCCATGAAGTTGGTCTGTTAAATGTTTCATGATAGACATGCAATTCAGTATGAGCCGTCGGCGGAAACTTACCAGGCCGTTAAACGTACGTAACCGCTTGACTGTGGTTGGTTCAGGGTAGTCCAGAATGGCCGCAGTTTCGCTTTTCAGACGGTGGATGCCTTGGGCATCAATGGTATGTCGGAGAGAATGTAGGTAGTTAGCTCAGATCTGACATTTGTGAATGTTTACAGTAATTTCGTGCTTTTAGAGTCGTTTAAATACAAGGCTCAGATTCTGGAGATGGGACATAATCGATAAATTTGTGAGTTTATGAAACATTTCTCAAATCGAAAGGCATGAAAAAGATTCGTTGGATCCGAAGGGGGTGCCGATAGGCGTCCCAGGAATGTTGTCAGCAGACATGGGAATTCGGTCATATGCTTTAACCAAGTCGATTTTCTCAAAAACAGTCGTGCCTTTTGAGGTGGCTGTCAAATCATGAATGTAAGGTGACGGTCAACGATCAGGAGTGGTTTTCGTATCCCGTCATCGATAATCACCAGTTTGACACCAACCGTTGCTGATAGACGCTCATGAGCTGTTTGGTGGCGGAATATTTACCAAGTTTATCACGTTCTGGAATTCGATGCTGATCAACCTTAGGTTTATGGGAGCTAGTGGGCGAGCTCTCGAAAATTCAGGTGATCATGTAGTCGCGGTGTGATGTGTGACATTACTGCGTATACACGGTAATTTTGTCCGCGTTTGGCACAGTTCGATAATTTGCCGAGTATCCGTTGATAGTACAAATCAATCGTGTGCCTTAATGTGACTAGAGATAATCTACAACCGGAGAGACAAGTTACATAAACAGATAGTTTAGTATTTCCGCCTACTAACCTCCGCTTGTACATGTTGACTAGATTATGATGTTTTGGTAGGTCTATATTATTGATTGGTATAGAAGCATCTGTAGCAACGAAGATCCAGTGCATGAGTTTGCGTAAACCCGTGTTAAAGTACACATATCTCTTACCGTATGTGGCGATCGGTTTCTCATTTACCACTTGCAAGTTGAAAACTGGTTCGTACAGTCGGTCGTTACGATTTGTAGAAACAAGACTTATTTCTGCGCGTGTCAACCAGATGGCGAACGTTCGTCAACATATCTGCTACTCGTGGTCTGGAGACAGACCCTCTCCTTGTCGAATTCCTTCGGGTCCGGGGGTGTCTACGAGTATTATGGATACTGAGACGACGGACCAGAGTGTGATAGAGGACTGTGGCGTCGTTTTCTGCTGTTATAGGCTTTTGTTTGACTGAATGAATCCTAGCGATGGAGGTTCTGGTGATCTTTAGAATCCGGTCAGTAGATGCAGATAGTTCATCAACAGCGTTGTTTCGAAAGAAGACAAGCACTGCTTGCACTCATTGGGGAATTTTAGACAAGAAGAGCCGTCTGGGCAGGCCCTCGTCAAAGATCCAGTAACGAATGACCTCTTGCATTCGTAGCAACATGTTTTCCGCTGAGCTGTTTCAGCTCGCTGTTGTGGAAAAGTTGGTGTAACCATTTTCGGTCGGTTAGGTCTCCGCGCTTAAGAATAGCCTTTCTCAAAACGGCGTAAGGTTCCGAAACATCGCTAGTGAACATACTAGATATAGCGTATCAGATGGATTCGCTCGATAGTGCCTTCATCACTGCGAGGAACTGTGCACGTGGAAGTCAGTATTTACGTAGCAGTACCAGGCTTCTATATTACCGGGTCAGAATGGCATTAACTGAAATGCGGAAGACGAAAGCGTCTTGATCTTAAATAATTTAAGAGTCTGCTCGGTCATCATGAATATAAAGTATAGCAGTGAACGAGAAAAAGTATCCAAAAATGTGAAAAAATCACAATATGTAGTATATGAATTTCCAAAAAGGAATAGACTCACAGTTTATTGTTTGGTGTACCAGATCACATCTGCCTCACCACTAAGGATCCCACGAGTCTCCGGACTTTGACGACACCTTAACCGATAACACCTTTTATAATCGAAACGTAACAACCCAGTGAAATCAGAAGCGAAGAGACTCGGAGATATATTTGATAGAATATAGACATACCAAGAAGTAAATAATCTAAGCTGACTAGCGGTTGTAGGAAAAGTGAATCACGGCGTACTCATTCGTGATCTGATGTGGATACGTGACCGAACGTCTTCAGCTAGGTGAGTCAATTAAAAGTAATTAGGTCAGCATTAGTGAAGATTTACAGAACTATTTATTTAGGGAACTTATTTACCACTACATGATTGCAATGAGCTCTCATAATGGTACTTCTTTTTTGCCTTTTAATTGAAGGCTCAATTTTCGCTTTACCTTCTTCAGTAGTAAGAGAGACAACATAATTGACTTTTAAATCACTTCTCATACAGTTAATCAATTTTTGTCTATCAACATTAGGAAAAAAATGATAGCCTTGTTTTTTGTCATAAGATTGTAACAAATAAAGTATAAACCGTTCGTTTTATCATTTATGGTTACCGGAATCGTCTGTTATTAATTTGTTTAGCTACACCAGAAGACATGTACTGGTTTGTGCAGACTTTCGTATTTGGCGAAATTACCAGGATGAACATAGGCGTTCAAATGGGGCATCACACGATTTTCATCGTTGCAGTCCTGCTTTGTAAGTCCCTTGAGCGCATCCGTTATCGGTTTTCAACTAAATTCTGTTTTCCCTCACGTTTGAGTTATATGGTAATGATGTCAAATGACACATTTTGAAGATCGAGTTTTTATATCCCGTCAAACCCTGCTATGGTTATCTTTAATCGTTTAATTTTGTTCTGCATCTTGTAAATGTACGACTTTTTCCAAGGAATTAAAGATTATAGTGATTTTATCCGTGTGATCAAAGAACGTTTTTAATTACTGTTTATTCAATACATATGTATATGCATATATACATATTCATGGAGGTGCGCACTTGACAGCACAATTAAAGAAATGTTCTGAAACTTTCTTAGTGTGTCTTTCACGTCGTTAGTGTTTAATAATTATGGTTCTACACTTATGTTGGAAGGTACGTTATTTACACAAGTATACTCGTCTGGTCTAATCACTTCATTGGCTGTATACAGTCTACCAAGCTTGGCAGACGAAACAGAAGCGCATACGATATTTCTTTTGGCCAGGTCAGTCAAATTCATACAAAGTCGTTCTGTGTTTTCGCAATCTACAGGCGTGTATATGTTGCAATTCAACAATGCTTGTGACTGTCAGTAAACATACGATAAATTTTTTCAAGGAAAAGAAGTTAGCGAACAGCTGCTGCATGCGAAACTTAACGGAAAATTTCGCCCTAATTCATCAGAAAATTCAAATGTCGGCCAGTGTTGTGAAGTTTATTCCAGAGATTTCAGACGTCCACAAACCGACAATGAGTACAGCTAGCCTACATATGATCTTCATGGTAGAACAGATAGTGAAGGTTTTTACAACGCTCTTGGTGCATTCATAATGTCAAATCTTCCCCACCTCATCGAGGTGTCGTAGTTTATATTTTCTTGGAAATCCTTACTCAAGCAGGACTATTGCTCACTGAATTCACGTACTAATGCCATAGCTTAAACCCTAGATCTATTTCCCACATATCGCTGCTACGTCTAGTTGAGCTACTCTGCTGTGCACAAGTAAAACAAACCCAATCTCTCTTTGTTCAGTAAACATTAGGCCTACATATGTAGTTTCGATCACCTTTAATGACATTATACAGTTGTGTCCGAGTTTGAAATTATATCGCTTTTTGCACTTAGTTCTTTCCATGTAGCTCTTCGATTGTAATGAACGGAAGTTAATACTCTTTATTCTTAGTATTGTGAAGATCTTGTATTCCTTTGAATGTATCAAAATAGGATTAAGATGCTACGTTTTATGATTGGGGACCTTAGTAGTTCACTACATAGTGCTAGAAAGTCAACTTCAAAAGTGAACGATTCGACCTTAGTTTTTGAACTGTTAGAAGGTGTCCTCTTAGATAATCGTTCACATTATGTAACTTCGCAGTACCGTTTAAGCTTTTCAATACTTGAAGTAGGTAGTAAGTATCTAAAGTCTATGCTAACCATTATTTACTAAGTAGAGTTACGTTAAAATATTTGTTTCAGCTTCTGGGATTCGTTTGGCAAATACTATTATGAGAAACTTTGTTTCCTTTTTATGAGAAAGGCAGCTAAATGACGTGGCTTGTAAATAATTTATGGAATAGATGACTAAGTTGAGTAATAGTCTATTGACAAATTTCATTCCAGTTAAACCCGCACGAGACATTGTGTGACAAGACTAAGTTCTTGAAAATAGTTTGGACAGTCACTATCGGACTACAGATTTTCTCAACAATCTATGTGAGATCTTGTACGAATAATATAATAATAAATCCTTCAATGAGTTATGTGAAACCGATGCTTTGATTGGCATTCCCCCCATAACATCTTTTGTTTACCTCTTTGGTCAAATTAATTCCAAACTTTCATTTTTCATCTAATAGTATTTCCTTCTAATAATTTGAATCATTATAATCTTTTACTAAATCATTCGTTCACAAATTTTGATAACCTATTCTGTCATAATCTATCTTTTAAAATGTCTATATATAATTATGGCTTTAGGTGTACCGAAATGTTTTTCACATGTTTTTTATTTCCACCCGGACTAGCCAAAAGTTCATTTAATACATTTAAGTGTATTGCGTATTTCTATGTGTAAACAAAAAATGTTCCAATTTATGTCCTAGTTTAATATTGAAAATAGTTTACCAGACATTTTGAATAACATATCTCATATGATTTATGTGAAAGAAACCTCTACTCATCATTTATCATGTAAGATTGACTAACCACCATTGTGAGTTTGATTCCTGGTTAAAAATGCCCGCCACTCTAAAGTAAGTAGGCAGTCACAGGGATATGCTCTATTATTTTTACTCCGTTTGATTTTTTTCATGAATTTCTACAATTAGATCTATAGGTAAAGTGCTGAAATTTTATCTATTCTAATTTTGTAATAGCTACTACTGTTTAACAATATTATGTGTTTTCACATTTATGTACATGGATAAGGTTACTAACAAGAGTCCCTTAGAGTGTTCTGAGTTGTGTCTGTATGTTCAACTCCTTGAATGAATATCTGAAACTGAATTTGGTCTTGAAGTCTAGTATATGTTTTTAGGTTATTCCCTGACTGTGCTTACTTGTTTTGATAGTTACGAAAGTCAATGGTCACCGCATAAATTACCTTCATGGTTTTCTCATTGCAGTTGACAAACCACAGCTCTAAAATTAAAATTCTAATCAACTCATAAAATGGGAAAATAATTACTAAATGTGCTTGTTACCTATCTGCTTTTAATAAGTCAAGCAAATCAGATAGAAGGCTTAGTTGACCATGAAACATAATATGTGGATGGAAAAGCTGTAATAATCCAACTAATGAGGTTTTAAGGTTTCATAAAGTTGATTGGCTATTATTTACAAAACATGAACTAAGCATTGCGTAAATTGGTTTGCGGTGCTTAGTTGAATATGAACAGGTGGAAGGTGACCAAAAAAACATGACATCTGCTCACGAAGTATTCCCTTGGTTTTCCGAAATGTGTTGACAATCGTGAACCATCATACTAGAAGAAAAAAGTTAACTTGTAATCAGAAATTTTTTTTGATATGGCTCGAAGTTTCAGTCATGCAGACTTACTTATTTTTTCTACTTCTCCATATTTTGAGTTTGTCTCATTTCATGCGTGCTGGTCGTTTTAATTGTTTCTTCTAAATATTTACTTTCCATGTTTTTCCTGAAATGTCACTAAACTTATGATTGTTTAAACCCTTATTTTTCATTTTGTTTATTTATCGCCTCTGAATTGATGCAAATTGTGGCAATTTAGATAGATGCACATTTTGTATTAAATGTTGATCAATTTATAACTGACTGGCTGACTAGCTTAGACAGTCAAAGTGAGGAGAACTTAACAATACGTGAGGCTTTCTAACTTTTGATTCTGGTTTGTTGTAATTTTTTACATAGAAAAGATTACATTTGTGGTAGTCATATTGCATACAAATAGTCACTTTCACTGATGTGCCTAATTTCTCTAAGTGTTACCTTATTATGATTGTAATATGCTAGTATTTTCTTGAAGCCCTTAGACGATATACAATGCATTCGATCTGAGTAACTCACTTTACTTACTATTTACTCTTAGTACTTGGATTTAGTGCTGTCATCATTTTAACTGCATAACTATCGTCCTGTAAATCTCCCTAAATCATCTATTTTTCAATACACATTGAAAAGTAGTAGCAATCTTAATTATTTAAGATTGTATGATTATAGGCTTATAAACATGTCATATCACTGTATTTTATGCTGGTCTTTGAATACCATGTAAGAATGATAGATTTTTTTTATCGACTATGAATAGAGATACTGTTGTTGTTATCATATAGTGTCAACAATATGTGCTTAAGAATGTTTTCACTGGCTAATAAAATATCTAGCACAAGCGCGTGATGTGTATTGTTATATTTGTAGTAATTTGACTCATTATTACGCGATTTAATCCGACTAAATCGTTTTATAGATTATAATTTGTATTTAGCAACAGATCAGTTGTTTTTCTAGTTAAGATATTTTTGTGTATGTGTAAGTCTATTAACATTAAAATAGCAGAATATATATAGTCAACTGACATAATTTGGAAGTCACGTTTCCTATATTCTGATACTGAGAGAATCTTATTTTAACCTGAATCATTGTTGAAGCATACAAAAACTAACCCTACTACAACGAGCATGGTCTTGATGTAATCGATATTAATGAAAATGAAATTAAAATCACACCATGATACATCAGTTATTCTCAAGACACTCTAGTCAAATGTGTAGCTTTTAGAGTCACGTAGTACGTAGTTATCAATCGGTAGTTAATTGTTGTGTAATTGTTATCATAGTGTTCAGAGAATGTAAGGAATATTTTACCTACAAGATGACAAGTTTAAAGAATCTGTTCAGCCCTGTTTCTGTTGATAAGTGTCTATATATTTTTTAAAGCTTTCATTTGTATCCTCTATAAACAATAATTTTGATACTCATGGTTGCTATTTGGATAAACCATTAACTTGGTGATTTTACTGAAATATAGCTTATTGTTTGACACTTTATGTTATTCATTATCTTTCGTATTTAGCTAACTTTATTAAGACTCACCAAGCCGCTCATTCTCTCGTCAGTTATTCAAGGTTTATTAGTGTCTTAATTTTAAGGAACTCAAAACTATAAAAAAGGATGAGAAACGAAATAAAAAATAAAGTAACATGATTAAGTAGCTAACTGTGAAATAAGTAAAGTCAAGGGCAATTAAATGGACAGGAAAAAAGATATTTGATGTGTCGTATTCTCAACAGAGAATTTATTCTTAAAGTCATAAATTAGCAAGCGGAATTTGTGGATATGATTACACATTCGTTTTTACATATTGCGCAGACACTAAAGTAGAACTAATGTCGTCCTGCAATTACAAGTGGATAAGTGTTAAGATATGGAAATATCAAGTGAATTATACGTTCCTTATCTGCTCTGAAAGTTCCGTCAGGTCTTAAAACAAAACAGTTTATGATCGATTAATGATCAATGA